TATAGTAGGTTCAAATGTGGATTGACTTCTATCGTGTGGTCGTGTGGACGTGTAAATAATGTTATTCTGTGAGAATAACTAAGATAATATGTTGTTTGATAATGCGAATACGTTCGACTTCACATAACTATTTTCATTATCATGCGTTCTCATTAATTAAATCGTCTAAAATGGTAGTGTAAACTTTTTCCCATTCTATAAGAATGTGTTCTTAATAATCGTATTCTTTAAGAATGAAAATCAGTAAAGAACGATGCGTGAGAACAAAAATTAAAAGAATTAGTAAGAATGCAAAATAATGATGATAGTTAAGTAAAGTTGAGCATATTCACATTACCAACCAACATATTCTCTTAGAATAACACTATTCACACACATCCACACAACAGATGTCATCCATATTTTCACAAAGCCTTATATATATATATATATATATATATATATATATATATACATACTTACATACATACATGCATACATACATACATACATATATATATATATATATATATATATATATATATATATAGAGAGAGAGAGAGAGAGAGAGGGGTTATATTCAGAATGTATAAAAAATAAAAATGCGATAACGATTGTGGACCAATCATTTTCTAAGGGACAATATAGAAATTTTACAATTGCATTAATGAATTAGTCAACTTAATTAAATGACTATTTCCTATAGTTTTTCAATTATTTATTTCAGTTTATTTTTTTCAAAAAGTATTATCTATTTTATTAATATAAACAATTAAATTGAATGAATTCATTTTCTAAAACATAAGATTTCACTAAAAATCTTACTAATTGAAAATGGAATTAAGGAGGGGATGAGTTTAATTTATAAGAAATTGAATATTCTCCTACATTTTGTTCCTATATATCTTCCTACCCAACTAAATGGTGATGTGTGTAACATTTAATATTTAATGAAATTTAGTGATATTTTACGATATTAATAAAACATATGTGATCATTTAAATTGATAGGAAGATCGGTATGGACAAAAGATAGAAGGATATTATTTAATTTCTTTTAATTTATTTACCTCTAAGACATCCAACTAAAGCTCTTACAAATCAAAAATGCAATTATGAAGGTGCTTGAGGGGGGATTTATAGTGTAAGACCGACTAAAATTAAAGTATTTTTGGATTTTTTGTCCATACAAAACTTTTTACAGAAAGTTAACAATAAAAAAATATAATATATTTAACTAATACCATCCACGGAAGGACATTCTTATATAAAAAACCAAATACCTAAAATATATTTATCCTTTACATTCTTATATAAAAAATGAATATACAATCACTTCCTTAACGAAACATTTGATCGGTTTATACCTAATAACTAAAGAGAATATGTGATGACTACAAATCAGTTGAAGCTTATTTTTCAAGGGTTGAATTGGTTAGAATGTGTGACTTTTATGAGAATGGGTTGATCGATTTAAACCTATTGGGCATCGGGCTAACAAGGTTGTTTCTTCTTTGTTTCAAATAGCAGGCGATGATGAGATGAAATGACAGTGGTCAAAATAGGCGTTGGGTAAATGGTGCACGAGAGCTAACCACATCTTAATCATCATTTTCATGGCGTTGGTGAAAGAAAATCCTAGGGTTTTTGGGTTTTTCTCTCTTTTTCATGTAGATTCGTTTAAATGCAATATGCAATCCTTCTAAATTAAAGTTGTTAATATTAACTAATCAATCTAACGGTTGATTTTCAATTTACATTTTAAGCAACACATTTTAATATTGTTTACATAATTGAAACCATACTTTTAGCCATTGATTTGAAATTTCGGAAGGTTATGATTTTTTCTTGTGTTGTGAACATTTTAGATATTCTCAATTTAACCTTATATATATATATATATATATATATATATATATATATATATATATATATATATATATATATATATATATATATATATATATATATATAGAGAGAGAGAGAGAGAGAGAGAGAGAGAGAGAGAGAGGCTAGGTAGATATGCGGATGGTCAATTATTATGGGAACGTAGAGAATGATGTGGATGAGTCATTTCAAATATTTAGACAAGTCATTTCATAAGCTTATTTTTTTTACTTATTTTTCATGAGTTTGGATTAGTTTCATAGTGTAAGTCGTAATAATTCCAGAAGTTAGAAAATAAGTTAGAAAAATGAGCTTATAAAAAATAAGCTCAGAAAATAAGCTGTAAATAAGCTTAGCCAAACACCCCCAAATGTGTAATATCACATTTTAACTAATATTCTATTTTATTTTATAATTATCTCATTCAAAACCATATATATATATATATATATATATATATATATATATATATATATATATATATATATATATGACAAATATTTAACACACTTAGTATCAACTGATCTTCTTCATCATTAATAAAACAACATTCAATTTTTATCATCATTACCATGTTTGGAATAATTCTTGTATTCTCTCCATAGTTTTTATTTTCAAATCTTAATTGATGTTCATGAGGACCATATACAACTTTCTTTCATTTTTGTATAACTATATTATCAATACAATTAGTTTACAATGCTATTTTGGTAGAATCAATCTTCTAGTGACAACCGTTCTATGAAAAATGCTAGAAGTTAAGAATTCATGTAATGTCAGGAAGAATGTCAAGGTGAATAAAAAGCTCAAAAAAAATGTGTGATTTGCCAACAAGAATGTCAAGGTTAACTGGCAATCCAACCAAAAAAGATGAATACTTCATATAGCCATTCAAACAAATGTTAAATAAAGAAGAGTTTTTGTCATAAAGACCCATCTAACTTTTACATTAGGTTTTAAAAGAGCAATATTGTTTTCTTCGGTTTTATGGACCCTCAAACTTGAAAATTACATGTCTCTCATATCCTTATTGATTTCATAATTTATTTAGCCGGTAAAAAATGTGATGTGACCGTTGACTTAGGTGGTCAATTATTTATTGTGCCAACTATGTTATTCCAGAGTGGAAAAACTTGTAAATAATCTTAATTGATTTTCGTTAGCCATCTTATAAGAAGAGAAATGGAGATTTGAACTAGGATTTTTAACCATCATAGCCACTACTGAGATTACACTGCTGCTGTCGAAGGTATTCTACTTTTTGAAGATTGTTTCACTGTTGCATGGCTCATAACGATAACGAAGCTGTATATCTGAGAGTTCATCTATACTACAATGGTATATTTGTTCGACATCCTTCTGGGTATGTTGGTGGGAATAACTTCCTCTTCACTGATGTTGATTGGGCAGGTATGGATGTCGGGGACTTTTTTGATTTTATTCATAGAGCTATCATGGAACAATTTCAAAAGTTTACTACTGCTTACCTAACATCCCTTTATCTATAGTGATTCATCCCATTGTAGATGATTTGGATTTTGCCTTGTTTATAGATAGCGGGTATGAATACCTGGAAATTTCATTTTATATTGATCATAATGGGAATGGGTTGGAGGAACGGTGTGATGATGATATGAATATGGTTGTTAGCAAGGATAATGAAAGTGTCCTTGAAGATGATGGTGTACCTAGAAAAGAAGAAAACACTGTCCCTGATGATGCAACCCATCCCAATGTAGGTCTTGAAGATGAAGTAATTGACATTGATAAAATACCTTTGAACAAGACGAATAGGTTTGAGAATCTTAGTAAGTTAAGTCCTCTAGAAGGTGATACTGGTGACAATGAAGTTGAAGAAGAAGAGGTTGAGATCATTTCCATTTTTAACCCTGATATGCAATGGAAGAGGCAAGTACCTGTTCTTAGGATGAAATTTAAAAGTCCAAAGCAGTTGAAAAATATGTTATGTAACTATGTTGTGGCAAATGGATACCAATTATTCTTTAATAAGAATGATAGTAAAAGGTTGTTGGTGGTGTTTTGCAAAGGAGCTTTCCCATTCAGGTTATGGGCTACATAGATGAGGTAGGAGGTGTCATTTCAAATCAAGTCATTGAATATTGAGCATAATTGTGCTAAAAACTACAAACTAGGATAAATTGTCACATACTCTTGGATAGAAGAGCATTATACAAAGGAAATTTTGCATAGACAAAAGTATTATATAATTGAGATTGGAGGTCATCAGGAAGTTTAGAAAACATGTTAGTTTAAGTCGATGCAGAAGAGAAAAGGCAAATGCCATGAATCTTATTGAGGGGACTCTTATTGAGCATTATGAAAAATTATGGTCTTATGGGGAGGAAATTAGAAGAAGCAATCTAGGTTCAACATTCAACAGTCAAAATGGATGCCGAATCCATGCCTGATGGTTTAATTTACTTAAGTACGTTCTATGTATGTTTTGCTAATGTTAAATCCGGTTGGTTAGAAGATTGTAAAAAGGTGTTAGGTATATATGGAGTTTCCTTAAGGCTGTATGCAATGGGGAATTATTGGGTGTTGTGGGTAGAGATGCTAACAACCATACATTTCCAGTTGCATGGGAAATAGTGTGTGTTGAGAATAAGGAAAACTGGATGTAGTTTCTAGAGTTACCTAGAGGTAGTTAAGGATGTTCTTCCCTTAGTTGAGAATCGAAAATGTGCAAGGCACATTGTTGCAAATTTTAAGAAGAGGTTTGCAGGGGCTATTTTTGAGAATCTTTTTTGGAAGGCTTGTAATGCAACAACATCACAATATTTCAATGAATTCATGCAAAAAATTGAAAGATTAAGTTTGGAAGCCCATAAGTACTTGATGAGAAGGAACCGAAGACTTGGTCAAGAGTATTTTATGATGTAGGGAGGGCATGTGCTGCAGTGGAGAATGGTATTTCTCAGATCTTTAATGCAGTAATTGTAGAGGCAAGGAGGAAACCAATAATCACTATGTTGGAGGAGTTGAGGTTATATATCATGGAGAGGATGTTTAACTTGAAACGCAAGAAATGGACAAAGGATGTAAGTACAACAATAAGGCAGTTATTAAATGGGTTAAAGATTGAAGCTAGGTATTTATAACGCCCGTAGATCCGGGCTAGTCAATTTAGAGGTAATAGGGGTTGAAAATGACTTTTCGTCAAAAGATTATTTAGAATAAATAATCTTAACCAAGTTGTAGAATATGTCACAAGGTTTCCGTACATATAAAGAGCGTCGAAATCCGAGTTATAATGAAGAAGTTATGACCCGTCGAAGTTTCGCGACGGAACCGGCACGACACTGAGAAGCGTAAATAGTGATTTTATGATGGAGGACTTTTTAGCCTTAGTGATCTAAAATAAAGTCGTAGAATATGTTAAACCGAGAAAATCCATAAAAAGAATGCCCAAATCTGACTTCGTATAAAGAAGTTATTATTTTTCTAAGATTCGGCTTAGCAGTGCACGGTCCGAAACTCGAATTTTAGCTCGAGCGGTTTTTGGCTTGCGTGACTTAAATGAGAGTTGAAGATCTCATTAATAGGTACTTAACATTAAAAAGACAAACGGAAACAGAGTCTGTATGAAGGAGTTACGAATTCTTCGCGGTCATTTAACAGTCTAAACGCCTAGTACTGTTAAATTTAAGATCGGTCGAGAATTAGCCGACGGAGACAAAATGAAAGTTGGAGATATTATTTTTAACTACGCGTGGATATAAAGAACGTAAAAACGGAGGTCATATGTGAAAGTTACGGATTTTAGAAGTACGAAGTATGCTGTGCGAAAATGGGAGATGTGGCACAATCTTGGCCATTGCTTTCTCCTCAAGTCTTGTCACTAGATGGTGACATGTGGCACCAAGTTTAGCCATTTTCACCCTATAAATAGAACCTCTCCCACCCTCATTTTCTTCACACCTTTCTCATTCTTTCTTCTCTTTACTTTCTCTCTAGAACCTCTCTCTAGCCCCAAAACCCCCCGAAAAGCCTAGGGAACCTCTCTAGCACGAAGCGGAAGCCCCTGAGTGCTCGAAGGCTCCGAGAAGAAGAGATTTTCCGCACGGGAATGCTTCTCCAAGCAAGGCCTGGTTTTCTATAAAACCCGCTGTAAGTGAGCTACGCCTACGCTATTTTTAATATAGTTTTTATTTAATTATATTAACGTTATTAAGAACATATAATAAGTAATTGGGCTATTATTATGGGTTATATAAGTATTATTTAACGGTTATATAATAGTAATAATAGCTAGACTATTAATTAGTCTCGGTGAATAATAGACTAAACTCTAGTGGTAATAATACTAGGTTTCGTCGAAGGAAATTTTTTTTTTTTCAAGAAGTGAAGCGCTGTCTGAGTACGGAATCACCACCTTTTCAAGTGAGTGCATAGTTATTTTCATCTTACACATAGATATGAAGTATTCTATATAAATTACGTGCTATGTGTGCATATTATCTGAGTACTCGTTGTCTATGCTAAATGAACGATTTTATACATGTTTTAAATGATTTCAACTGTATATGTATTTTATATCTACGATAATGTTGGGGTAAACATGGGTAGATATAATAGATGGAATATGAGTTGAATGATGAGTTAAGAGGTGTTATAGACCACGAGGTGAGGGTGAGAGGTGGATGATGTGAGAAGCCTTTTTCCCAATTGATGGCCCCGTCATTCAACAGAGTATGGATGACAACCACAGACTATTCTAGACAGTCAAGTGGAACACTAGCAGGCTCGCAACCTGTAGGTGTTGTGAATGATGTGTTCACCCTGTGTACTCTAAACCCTGGTGATCATGCAGACTTGATGCCTAAACCCTAGTGATCATGCAGACTTGATGCCTAAACCCTGGTGATCATGCAGATTTGATTCCTATACCTTGGTTATCATGCAGACTTGATGCCTAAACCCTAGCGACAATGCAGACTTAGTGCTCGTTGTGTAGACCGTGGCAACGATGGACTTTGTGCTGATTCCTTAGGATGATCCTTAGGAATGAATGAACGAGGAATAGCTGATTCTTAGGGTAGATCCTTATGATTAAAGAAGATAATAAGGATGGGTAATTGGGTTAATTGTTTGATTGTTTAAACATAATAATTATATTATTGTGGGTTGAAAACCTTATGTATTCACCAGGTTTCCCAACCTGACCCACTCAGTTTATTTATATCACAGGTGCTGATATGAAGTCACATTACACTGATAGATTACAGAGATGTAGATCACTAGTGTAAATAAATGTAAGTTCTGTTTATGCTTATGTTTCTGTATTGACGATGACATCCCAAACGTTTTAAAATGTATAAAATACGTTTCTTCGAAAATATTTTGATAACATATTTATCGTATTTTTCTGGGAACAAATTCCGCAACATTTTTATGAAAAGAAGTACTCTGATTTTTATAAAGCATAAAAAAATCGGTCTTTTCTGACCATGAAAATAGGGATGTCACAGTTGGTATCAGAGCATTAGTTTAAGAGAACTAGGAATTTGTAGGAAATTTCTAGACTTAAACTTAGAATGCTAAGTGATGATTGTGAGTTGTGAGCACTAGCTTATTTTAGGAATGATGCCTAAATTGCTTTTACATGCTAAATGATTTGTTATGCTACAGTTTGATTGGATCTATGGTCTGTTGCCGATCGGATCTGGAAACCTTATGTTTTTAGTATTCTAAATGTTCGAATACGATATTAGAACTGGCATATAAACGTTTCAAAGTGATAAAGATGATTTAAACGTCAATCCTAAATAAAGATCTAAATTCACCTTATTCGGTGTATAGATCAATATGGCAAGGACCCATAGCGGAAACGTGAATACAAATGGGAACCGAAACCAACCCCCAGTGATTGAGCAAATACCGGTTGTGGTAGCCACTGTTGAGCCAATAACGATGGCCGGAGTGCAAGCGATGATCCAGGCGATGTTGGATCGTCAAATGGTGGAAACCAAACATTTGCTCTAGCAAAATCGAGAGGAAGCGACCATAAAAATCGAACACCCCGAGTTGAACGAAGGGCAGAATGAGGAGCGAAACTAGAGTGGGACTGTTGGTCAAGCCAACCCACCGATAGTTAGGCAAAACCACCAGGATGGAGGAAATGACGGACGTGGATGCAAATACAAGGATTTCATGGCGTCCAAACCACCGAGTCTATCTGGAAGCCCGAAGCTGGTGGAAGTCATGAACTTGATCTCCGATATGGAGACGATGTTTGAGAGTTGCGAGTGTAGAAATAGTCAAAAGACCGCTCTTGCGGTTCCTCTGTTGAAATCTGGAGTACTAAGCTGGTGGAAGCTAATAGCTGATTCGATGCCCAAAGGAGAAGCGAGCAAGATGTCGTGGGAAGATTTTCTGGTGTAGTTAAAGATGCAGTACTGCTCTTAGTAGGATCTTTTGGAGAGTAACAATGAGTTCCAGAATCTAGAGAAGGGAAGGATGAGTATCATCAAGTATGCTGCAAGTTTTATGGAGAAAATGAAGCTTGTTCCTTACCTAGTCCCAACTGAACTCTCCAAGGTTAACAAGTTTGCCCATGGATTACTAGCAGACTTTGGTCCAATGGTTAAGCAAACAACCACTTTGAAAGCTGCCATCTAGGCAGCTAGGAATGTTGAGACCCAGATTATGGAAAAAGGTCTAGAGAGAGCTGAAGTTGGCGAGAAAAGGAAGCATGAAGGATCTTCAAAATCCAACAAAGAAGAGAAATTCTCAAAGACTGAAGAAGGAGGAGGAGGTGAAACCAAGTGGTGCGAGAAGTGCAAAAAGAAGCACTTCGGGAAATGTGGCGAGGATGTGACTTGCTACAAATGTGGAAAGACAGGGCATTACGCTAGCAAGTGTGCGTCCAACAAGAAGGTGTGTTATGGATGTAAAAAAGAAGGGCATATTTCTAGGGATTGCCCGAGGAAAAATAAAGCAGCAAGACCAGAAACGCCACCAAGGCCAAGGGCATTTCACATGATCCTCGACGAAGCAGAAAACCATGCGAGGAATCATGGATGAGGACTTCATATCTGAAGATCAAGTTATGCAGTAGCCATAGTATAGTATGATGTAGCCTATTAGAGGCATAGTCTAAGCTGAACTTGAACACCTATGTAATAGTTTCGAGAAATAATAAAGCCCTCGTTTTGTTATCTAATGTGTTAAACTGTTATGTGATTTTTCCTATATGGTGACTTGGAAAACTACGAGACAATACTTCGGACACGTATGAGTAGGTGTGAAAGGTAGTACATGCATATACTACCGGAAGCACATGACTCACGCTTGGATCAGGGAATATCACAAGGTTACCAAGAAGCCAATAGATGAGTCTGTTTTATTCAAGCATGTCGTTACCATCGTTTCGGTAATGACTAAGAAGATTGTTGTTATTCTGACCCTAGTGGTCATATCAATTTAGTCCGAATACGATGAGTTATTTACGTGGTTCAGAGAACCAAGTTCTATGTAGCATCTAACTTAAACCAAAAGATTGAAATGAAAGCTAACCCAGGGTGATCAGTAGAAGTACCGCGATGATTTTAGAGAATTTGGTAGCTAGAAATGCTACATATTGAAATGTGATTGTATTACATTAGAGCATGAAAAAAGGTATTCTCTGTTTTGGAGTTTGACTATAAGAGACCTAAGTCTAAAGCGTTGCAACATAAGATGATAGGTCATTAGAATATGACACATAGATCCATAGTAGTAATAAAAGAACTTATCTCAAGTTCGTATCCAGTAAGGATCAAGATTGTGACTTGAAGGTCATAATTTGGTGTCTAGCCTGAGGTAGAGAGCAGGTGCACGATCGAGTACTGCTTATAGTCAATGAGTCTAAGAGATAGACTTCAAGGAATATAGAAGTTATAATTATTACCTAGGATGAAGAGATGACATATGGAGTCATTATACGAGCCCTGTTTCGTTGATGATTCCGGGACGTAATCATCTTAAGGGGGAGAAAATTGTAACGCCCGTAGATCTGGGCTAGTCAATTTAGAGGTAATAGGGGTCGAAAATGACTTTTCCACAAAAGATTATTTAGAATAAATAATATTAACCAAGTTTTAGAATATTTTACAAGGTTTCCGTACATATAAAGAGCGTCAAAATCCGAGTTATAACGAAGAAGTTATGACTCGTCGAAGTTTCGCGACGGAATCGGCACGACACCGGTAAGCGTAAATAGTGATTTTACGATGGAGGAATTTTTAGCCTTAGTGATCTAAAAGAAAGTCGTAGAATATGTTAAGCCAAGAAAATCCATAAAAAGAACACCCAAATCTGACTTCGTATGAAGAAGTTATGATTTTTCTAAGATTCGGCTTAGCAGTGCACGACCCGAAACTCGAATTTTAGTGCGAGCGGTTTTTGGCTTGCGTGACTTAAATGAGAGTTGAATATCTCATTAATAGGAATTTAATAGTAAAAAGACAGACGAAAACAGAGTCTGTATGAAGGAGTTATGAATTCTTCGCGGTCATTTAACAATCTAAACGCCAAGTACTGTTAAAATTTAGTATCGGCTGAGAATTACCCGATGAAGTCAAAAGGAAAGTTGTAGATATTATATTTACCTACGCGACATATAAAGAACATCAAAAATGGAGGTCGTATGTGAATGTTACGAATTTTAGAAGTCGGACGTATGCTGTTCGAAAATGGGTGATGTGGCACAATCTTGGCCATTGCTTTCTCCCTAAGTCTTGCCACTAGATGGTGGCATGTGGCACCAAGTTTAGCCATTTTCACCGTATAAATGAAACTCTCCCGCCCTCATTTTCTTCACACCTTTCTCATTCTTTCTTCTCTTTACTCTCTCTCTCTCTCTCTAGAACCTCTGTCTAGCCCCAAAACCCCCCGAAAAGCCTAGGGAACCTCCTTAGCACGAGGCGGAAGCCCTTAAGTGCTCGACGGCTCCGAGAAGAAGAGCTTTTCCCCACAGGAATGCTGCTCCAAGCAAAGCCTGGTTTTCTATAAAACCCGTTGTAAGTGAGCTACGCCTACGCTATTTTTAATATAGTTTTTATTTAATTATATTAACGTTATTAAGAACATATAATAAGTAATTGGGCTTTTATTATGGGTTATATAAGTATTATTTAACGATTATATAAGAGTAATAATAGCTAGACTATTAATTAGTCTCTGTGAATAATAGACTAAACTCTAGTGGTAATAATACTAGGTTTCGTCGAATAATTTTTTTTTTCAAGAAGTGAAGCGCTGTCTGAGTTTGGAATCACCACCTTTTCAAGTAAGTGCATAGTTACTTTCATGTTACACATAGATATGAAGTATTTTATATAAATTACGTGCTATGTGTGCATACTATCTGAGTACTTGTTGTATATGCTAAATGAACGATTTTATACATGTTTTAAATGATTTAAACTGTATATGTATTTTATATCTACGATAATGTTAGGGTAAACATGGGTAGATATAATAGATGGAATATGAGTTGAATGATGAGTTGAGAGGTGTTATAGACCACGAGGTGAGGGTGAGAGGTGGAAGATGTGAGAAGCCTTTTTCCCAAATGATGGCCCCATCATTCAGCAGAGTATGGATGACAACCACGGACTATTCTAGACAATCCAGTGGAACACTAGCAGGCTCGCAATCTGTAGGTGTTGTGAACGATGTGTTCACCCTGTGTACTCTAAACCCTAGTGATCATGCAGACTTGATGCCTAAACCCTGGTGATCATGCAGATTTGATTCCTAAACCTTGGTTATCATGCAGACTTGATACCTAAACCCTAGCGACAATGCAGACTTAGTGCTCGTTGTGTAGACCGTGGCAACGATGGACTTTGTGCTGATTCCTTAGGATGATCCTTAGGAATGAATGAACGAGGAATAGCTGATTCTTAGGGTAGATCCTTATGATTAAAGAAGATAATGAGGATGGGTAATTGGGTTAATTGTTTGATTGTTTAAACATAATAATTATATTATTGTTGGTTGAAAACCTTATGTATTCACCAGGTTTCCCAACCTGACCCACTCAGTTTATTTATATCACAGGTGCTGATATGAAGTCACATTACACTGACATATTACAGAGATGTAGATCACTAATGTAAATAAATGTAAGTTCTGTTTATGCTTATGTTTCTGTATTGACGATGACATCCCAAACGTTTTAAAATGTATAAAATACATTTCTTCGAAAATATTTTGATAACATATATATCGTATTTTTCTGGGAACAAATTCCACAACATTTTTATGAAAAGAAGTACTCTGATTTTTATAAAGCATAAACAAAATCGGTCTTTTCTGGCCGTGAAAATGGGGATGTAGCAGTATTGGCAAGTTCTCCCAAGTGGACTAAACAAGTTTGAGACAAGAAATGGAGGTCAAGCTTATGATGTGGAACTTGAGAACAAGACATGTTCTTGTAGGTTTTGGCAACTAAATGGATATGGGTGTGCCCATTTAGTTACTACAATCTTGTTTCTGAATAGGGATGTGGATTCCTATGTGGATCCTATTTTTTGTAGATCAAACTACAATAAAACATACTTGAATAATATCTTTCCAAGGAATGGTAGTAACATGTGGCCAGAGACATCATTCACCCCACCCTTACCTCACCAAAGAAGAAGGATGACTGGAAGACCTGCAACAAAAAGGAAGAGAGATGTGACAGAGAATATGGGGAAGCATAAGATATCAAAGGGTAAACCCATTGTGTGCAGTTCTTGTCATATGCCTGGTCATAACAAGCTGACTTGACCCACAACAAATAAGTTAGTTAATCTCAGGGTGAAAAGACCAAAGATAACCAAGACTAAACAGGTATATTGAAATGATGTTGTCATTTTAGCAAAGTAAATTTGAAAATCTTAAATATTGACATGGTACCTTGTATAGGAATTTGTAGTTGAAGGGTCAGTGAATGGTGGTGCAGAAGGTTTGCAAGGATCAATGAACAGTGGAGGTGGCGTGCATGGTTGTGAAGGTGTTGTGCATGGAGGTGAAGGTGGTGTGCATGGTGGTGAAGGTGGTGGAGTGCATGGTGTTCGAAAGAAAAAGGTATTTTGAAACTTTACAAGTATAACCCAACGAATCTTTTTAGTATTTTGAATAAAAGGGTAATATGGTAATTTTATTATTTAAAACTTTCCAAGTATACCCCTAATTCTATTGTTTAAGTATTTTAAATGAAAGGGTAATATGGTAATATTCTTATTTAAAACTTTCCAAGTATACCCCTAATACTCTTTTAAGTATTTTGAATGGAAGGGCAGTATGGTAATTTTCTTATTTATAGGTTAAAGCAAGAGGAGTGGGGGTTGTAGTTAGAACAAGAAAGCCTTCTGAGAGAATTTTGAAAACCAAACTTGCAAAAGCAGTGTATGGGAAAATGGCGAAGGCATCTCAACAACAAATGCAGTGGATATAGATTAGGATTTGTCTCTTTACACATGTGTCATGTTTTGAACCTTTATGTTATGTACTAGTTTATGTTGTTCCTGCATGGGGAACATTTGTGTCTTTTGAACCTTTTGTTAACTTCACATGGATGAAACATTTCTGTCGTTTGAACCCTATCTAATTTGTCTTTATGACTTATTATTCTAATATCACATGTGATGGTACCCTACTATTTTATCAGTATTCAATCCTTGCGTTGGTCCACAAATGTACACTCCTACCAAAACTCAATCAATTTTAATCCAGATGTGGATCCCATGTGTGGTCCTCATTTGAATATAACTCCCAATGCCTTTTACCTGTATTGGTCCACAAACTGCAATCACTTTCAATTGTCCATTGTACCCATGTGATATGCATCATATTCAATTGTGTTGGTCCACAATAACCAATGCCTTTTATCAGTATTAAATTGCACTTAGCAAGACCATTCAGTGGAATGAAAGTATAGTAACATAAAGATGCTTGTTTCCATTAGATACAAAAGTACATGGGGCATACAAAAGTAGCTTAAATTACATGGGCATTTACCATACAAGGTATTTACATCCACACATATACTAACCTATATCCTACCCACCAAAAACCATAGAAGATCTTCATATCCCTAACCTGAAGCTTACAAAAAGGGAGAGCATCTATACCACCGAAAATCATCAACTACCCCCAATCCCTTACCCCTAAGCATATCTATACCACCACCTTTTCTTTCTGCATCATCAACACATCAAGAAGAAGCACAAGAAACATCATAGCAATCCTAAACTTCATCCTCACGAACTTCAACTCACCCCTCAATTGTTTGTTTTCTTCAACAACCTTAACTAACTCACTATCAACAATTTCTTTAGCAGCAATGGCTTCATTATTCAGGTTCTCCAGCAAAGCTATCCTTCTCTCTAATCTTGCAGCGTAACTATTGTCTTTCATTAGTTTCAACTCATACTTGAGATTGTTGAAGGCAATCTTGTAGTGTGGTGACAGCTCATCATCGAACCACTTGAAGTATTTATACTTCTCAACTACCATCTCCGCCTACAAACAAACATACCAACACAATATTTAGTCACACACAACACAACCTTGTTCCACTATCGACTGAATCAAGAACAATAAACCCTAAACTCATAATTATCCCCATTGTTTGATAAACCCTAATTCTATAATCTTGACAACAGATTTAAAGAAGATGATGATTACCAAAGAGTCAATGTAGTTGCAAAATCTCCAGGGTGGATTCTTATCTGACATTGACATCCTTTCTACACTTAACTTTGGATGATGACAAACACACAGGTTGTTGTCACAATTCCTAGTAGTGAGAACAGTGTGGTTATCAGATGATGATCTAGATAACTATGCCATCGAAGGAGAAGCTAATCGATTCTTAAGGGTTCGTAACTTGAAAATTATATGTTATAAACTGGAAATGATATTAAATATCTTGTCTTCATTTAGGGCACTCTAAATAGCTTATTAATGAAGCTGATCCATCACCTGCCAACTGTGTATCTACGTGGACAACATTGTCCACATATGCAGTAACCTAATGGATAACCAATAATTGTGGGTAAACTTTAGGGTAGAGGGTATGATAGATAGGTAATTTTCGAGTTTGAGGGTCCATAAAGACCAACAACAACAATATTGGTCTTTTAAAACCTAATGTAAAAGTTATATGGGTCTCTATGACAAAACCCCAATAAAGAATTATTTACACAATATGTTTTTAAATCATTCTATAAAATGATTATAAGTCATTCTATAGTAATAGTTATAAATTGATATTCTAATAGAATATGACTCAATATTTGTGATTAAAGTAATCTGTTAGTTTTCTACAAACGTATTCTTCATAGGGCAGTATAATGATTAATCATCATATTATGTAGAATATATAATCTTTGATATGTATTCATATAAAATGATTAATTATTATATTATGTAGCTTATTGTTGATTTAGAATTTGTTTTACATGTTTCTTATTAACATAAAAAAAAACCATTCTAATACATATATTCTATCAGGATTTGTATAATTAATGTGAATTCTTACTTACTAACACACTTTGAGAAGCCAAAAAAGATCAATTACAAAACCCTTAATATGTGTGAATATATGTTTTGTAAACTAAAAATTAACATCGTTATAATATCATTTTTTTAGAATACATAGGTAAGTTACATTCTTATCATACTTTACGAGCAAATTTTTTTTTCTCAATTTAAAAAAATATAGGGTCCTGAAACGGATCTTACCAGTGATCAAATAGTAAACACAATCAATTAGCAATAAAGAATAAGTAGAATTGAGAATGAACAAGCTTGCACACACATTTTTTTTAGGAATAACGTCTAGTACAACTTGTGGTTACAGCAGTCGTGAACTCTGAGGCATCAACAACAGACAAATGACCTAGCACACCTCTATATATACTGGACTCGGGCCAGCCTTGGGTTTACGGCCGTAAACTCATTGGCGGGGTGTAAACTACATATAGACTACCAAAAGCTATAAATTGACTCAAAAGAACCTATTACATAGAAAACCTAGACCAAACCAATAATTAGACCCTACAATCTCCCCCTTGGTTTGGTGTTAGATTTAATTTAATCTTTGTTTACGATCATCACATCTTATAGCCTCATCGCTCCATTCCACATTCCTTGGTTATAATTTCAGAAACCATAGCAGTGTACTCTTTCGCAGCCGACTCAAAGATCTCCTTAGTAACTTGGATCTGATAATGGCTCAAATGATGAATGTCCCATTTTCTAAACTAGCACAAATCCCTTATGTCATACAAATGAATGCATCCTTCCTTCAGCTTGATGACAGCAGATGTTGTGGCCTCATCAAATACCCAATAAAGCATTGAGCTCAAGGATCCATCCAGATAATTCTGAAGCACTGGAATTTGTTTGACCTGATTTGTAGCAGGCCAGATCACCACCTGGAGGGGATGACTAGTTTTGGGATCAATGATATCTGGATAGTGCTTTATCACAAATTTAGCAGTTTTCATTGATGGAAAGCCCTTCTTCACGTGATCTTACAAGAAATGTTTGAAGTTAGTTGCTTGTTGATTATTTTTCAGATTTGAGAAAGGAGATAGAGACATCTTCGAAAGGTCCACCCTGGTCCATACGTGTCTCTAAACCTTATGGCCTCGAGATCCGTAACAATAACTGTGGATTTGTTCCTAGGTGCATTTTTGTCGGAACTCCTCTGAATAAGAGTTGTCCCTTCTCAGCCGCTTTAGCTTGTCTGTCTCTGATAATCTCTACAACGTGTGGATCATGGAAAAGCTCTTCTTCAAAGTGATTCACGACCCGTGAGGTCTTAGCAGTTAGCACAACAATAGGGTGAGCCTGAGAGTGAAGATTAATTATATACTCATCAGCAGAAGTCTTGCACTTAACACCCAGATCTTCTTCAAGCTTCTTCTTGAGATCAAAATAGATAGAAGTCAAAAGATTGAAATGAGCTTGGATCTCCAAGATCTGCTTGGTCTTTGTAGCTCTATCTTTTTGGAGATCAGAAACTTGAAGCTTTAAATTTGTATTCTCACTTAAAAGATCTTCAACTTGGATGTTGAGCTCAATGTTTTTCTGATCCAACACATTTACTCTCTTCTAAAGTTTGTCGATCATAGAATCTTCATCTCTAGACTGACCTTCACTAAAAACAATCCCTTTGGCCTTAGAAGAAGTTGCAGCGGTTTGTTCTTGAGCCAAAAACTAAGCCAAACGTACGGAAGCCTTTTCGAGATCTGCCCTTGGGGGAGAGAACCCTGGTGTATCAAAGGAGCCACCGGTTCCAAAAATGGTACTAGGGACTTCACTTAATGGTTCTGTAGTTACGATAGCAGGAGTGGTAGTTGGAGTAATAGGCACACTTGGAGATAGGCCAGAGTCCAGAAGCTCGACCCTAGGATCTCTTCGTCTTCTTTTAGATGGGGGTTGCACAGTCTGGTCTGTTTATTGATCATCTTGAAGTGGTTCAGATATAGTTAAAGCACTGTCAAGGGGAGGAATCCCTGACACTGTCACCGTAGGAGTTGTAGAACCAACCACTTGCTCTTGGAAAATGGGGGTTGCATAAAAAATGTCTTCCTTTCCATTGTCTCTGTTGCTGGGATAACAACATCACTAACATTATCCAACAAAGTATTGAGATTTACGCTTGTTAAGAAATTATCATTTCTTCCAAAAGTTTCAGGAATGTCATCTTGATCAAAACTAGTAAGATCAAGGTCTTCAAATTGATTAGGCTCAATAGTGTTCTTAGAAGATCCTTCATTGTAATCTCCTTCAACTTGAACAATTTGTAGGTCATGTTCCTCTGCAACTGACACAACATGAGCAACAATCTCTTCTCCTTCTTGATCTGACACGGTGATCACATCTCCTTCTGAGATCACCTTTTCTGATGAAGTATGCTCTGATGAAATCTTTTCTGAAGATCCATGTGACTTGGTTGCTTCGTTGGGTTCAGCAAATCGTTCGAAATTGACCAATGGATACAACCCCTGAAAGACCACCTTCCCCTTGCGGTTTTGTTTAATGAGCCCAATGGTCTGAGGGCCCAAAGACTTCATATCGAGTGTTTCTCCATCCTTTACCAAATTGGGAAATTTCTTATTGATGAAGAGCTTAATGAACCGAGGGTACATTAGGAAAGTATCCCGAGTAGTGGAATTAATGTTGACCACAAACTCGTCTAGGATAAACCTAGAAAAGTTGAAGCCGATCCCCGCAGTGAGAGAAACAACAGCGCGAGTGTTTCTCAGGGATATCTCATCATCACCTGACCTTCTGCTAGAGATGCAACACACGAACACGTGGGCTAGAAATCTCTAATAGGGCGGCAGAAGTTTCTTCATTGTTGGTGGAGAATCACCCTTGTACCCCATCTTCCTTAGTATTCGATGAGCATCTCAATATCAATCTCCATGGGAATAGTCGAGAGGTCGTTGATCAACAGAGTCTCTCTCATAAAGGTCTCATCAATGATAATCTTGCATCCCTAAACGATTGCCTTCATAATCATCCCTTGTCATTTTGGCAGTCTGCCAGAATTCCCGAATGATTTCTGGTAGACAACCGTGTTCATAGTGATGGCAGAGGCCAGACATCATTCTCGTAATCCGTGAATCATCGATTTGAAGTCCCCATGGGTCAACGGAGGATCAACGAGAACCATAGCCAGGTTGTGCATATCTGCAAATTTCAAAGTTGCCATTTTATCTGCACTAAAACACACCAAGTAAGACAAGAAAGAAACTTAATCAAATAATGTTTTAAATAATTTAAGATTGAGCCCAAAAGTGAATTATTAATTAAATAAAAATTAGATTTCATGATTACTGGGAAGTTTACGGTTAACGAGAGTTTACGGCCGTAAACTCGTGATCGCAATCCTATGGCCGCAAACTGAGTTTACGGTCCTAAGCTTGGGCCGTAAAGTCTGAAACATCATTTTTCGATGATTTTAGGCTCAAAACATTGTGAATCTCTGAAAGAAATGTATATTCACGGTCGGAATCATGGTACCTTCAAAGCTATCGGAGCATTGCAAAAATCGAGAAATTTTTTTCGAGGAGAGAGAGAGGGTGGGAGGGTTTGCGGCTGGAATCAGAGAAGTGAGAATGATTTCGGCGATAAACCCCTTTTATACCTTGATTCCCTTTACCTGATGGCCACATAGTGTAAGGCACAGTCCAATACAGTCCAATATTTTCAAAATTTTCAAAAGCAAAACCTTTTGAGGATTAAAATTAAAACAAAATTAAATTAAATTAAATTAATTTGTAAAATAAAAATAAAAAATAATTATTAAATTTTATCAGTTAATTAAATAAAATAAAATTAAAAATAAATTTAAAATTAAAAATAAATTAAAATTACACCAAATAAAATATACAACTAAAAAAATTAAATACTGAGAATAAATTTGTAACGCTGGGATCAGAGTTGTTGGACAGCCCTATTCCACTTGTCGGTACCGTTATTTTCACGTCTTCGTGTGATTGATCACCAGTATTGTGGTCCACTTAAACATGAAACATTTGTGATATAATTTTGGACAATTTACCAATAGCATGACATTTTTAGCCCTTATTCTTAAATATATTTCTTAGGGACCATTTAGCTGACAACAACTAAGGATATTGTTATCCGCCTAAATTGATCAGCGAGATCTATAGACAATCTGTATGTGTTCAATTTTTAATTATACTAGAACATGTTTCCCG